GCTTGCACATCGATGTTTATTGCGGCACTTTTCACGATTGCTAAGTCATGGAAACAACCTAAATGCCCACGAACTGATGAATGGTTAGAAAAACTGTGGCACATATACTCAATGGAATACTATTCATCCATAAAAAACAACAAAACCCTGGCTTTTGAAAGGAAGTGGATGAATATGGAAGACTTACTGCTGAGTGAAGCAAGCCATGCTATGAAGGAGAGGCATTGTATGTCCCCACTTCATGTGGAGGGAAGAGTGAAATCAAAGACACTACAAAAAAAAAATATTTGAAACCATACTGCTTCTGTTGTTATAGAGTCATAAAATTATACAAAATTATAAGAAATATTTTGAACATTATCTTTAAAATTCAGTATTTTGAAATTTTGAAAGTTTTTTGTAAACTGTCAAGAACTATGGAGTATGAGCTAAATCTATTTGCTATGTAAAGTAAATGTTTGTGGAAAAATGTAAAAATAAATAAATGAAAGAAAAAAATGAACATGTGAATTAAGGAAAAAAAGATGATCATGTGACTATTATCTTTTTTGTGTTAATGGGGTGCATTGCACTGAGTAATTTGCATACATTGAACCATTCTTGTACCTTAGGGATATGTTTCATTTTTTCAAGGTGTATAATTAATTTACTATACTATTTAATTCAAATTGCTAATGTCTCATTGATGATTATTCCAGATGGGTTCATTGAGGACACTGACCTGAAATGTTCTTTTCTTGTATTGACCTGTGTGCCTTGGGTATCAAGGTGATGTTGGCCTCTTGGAATGGTTGTTGAATTCTCTCTGGAGGGAACCAAAGTGACTTAAGCTATGCTTTATACTTCATGTTCTAGACCCTGAAACACAGATGAGGCAATACAGTGGAACTCGTGGCAATGTCTGATAGAGAATTCAGAATATTCTTAGTGAAAAAACTTAACAAGATACAAGAGCTGTGAGACAATGAACTCCAGAAGATGCAGGAGAAAAGTGACAGCGAGTTCCAGGACACTAGGAAGTTTTTGCACAATCCAAAAAAGAAAATACACACCATAAAAAAGAATCAAATGGAGCAGTTACAGATGAAGGCTTCATTACAGAGAAAACAAAACCTCCCTCAAAAGTATTAAAAGCAGATTAGTCCATGCAGAAGATGGAATCTCAGATGTTGAAAGTAAAAACTCTGACCTAGAAGAAACAACCAAAAAACTGAGAAAATAACAAAAAAAAAGAGAATAATATACAAGAAACACTCAATACCATTAAGTTCTTGAATATTCGGATAATCGGTATCCCAAAATTTAAGGAAACTAATAAGGGCATTGACAATCTATTCCATGAAATCCTGGAAGAATAGTTTCTATAACTAGGGAGGCATTCAAATATCCAGACCCACGAAATCCAAAGCACCCCTAACTGAATCTATGTAAGAAGATCTTCTTCAGGGCACATCATAGCCAAATTGGCAAAATCCAGTCAAAGACAAGATTTTAAAAGTTGCAAGACAGAAACGTCAGGTTACTTATAAAGGATATCCCATCAGGTTAACCTCAGACCTCTTCAGAAACAATGTGAGCAAGAAAAGAATGGAAACACAAACTTTTCTCCCATCCTGAACCCTATGGAATTGGAAAATATTTGGAAGTATGCTTATTTTGTGGCAGAATGGTTATTTGTGTAAGTTCTATAATACCTGTTGCCTTGAACCAGAAATTGGAAATACTAGTTAATAGACGGGACTTTGACTAAAATATCATATCTGAACCTTAAACCAGAAAACTATGGAAATAAGGTAGATTTCAAGTAAGCCAACAGAAGCTCTTGGGAAGGTAACCTGGCACCATAAACAGTTCTGCCTGGCAGAGAGCATTAGAGAAGCTATATGAAAGAATTTGTACCATAAAATAACCTGGACTCTTCCAGCCCAGTGTTGTAATCAGTAGAGATGGCAAAAGCAGAGCCACAAACAGGATTATCTTTTTTTAAAATTTCAATTTCTTTTATACATTCAATCATGTTACTTAGCTTGCAAAGTGAATATTACAACATGTGTACATTTCTCACCAGTCCAGTTGGCAGTACCATAATGTTACGATCAATATATCCCATTTCTTTGTCCCAAAAATGTTTTGCCTCTCTATTTTTCTCCTTAATGATTCATTTTTCTCAGACTCTACTCCTTCACCCTCCCTCTCTTCCCACACTGTATCCGGTATTCACAACTATTTACTATGTTTCTATATTCTTTAGACATTCAGTTTCAGTCATTGAGTGTGGATGGTCAGTATCTATTAAATGGAGACATACAATATCTTTCCTTCATAGCCTGGCTGGCTTCATTCAGCAGTAAATCTTCCATATTCATTCACTTCCCAAGTCAGGGTCTTGTTGTTTTTTTATGGCTGAGTAGTACTCCATAGAGTATATGTGCCACAGTGTTTCAGTACATTCATCTGTTCATGGGCATTTGGGTTGGTTCCATGTCTTAGCAATTGTGAATGATGCCACAATAAATATTAATGTACAAGCACTTTTCCAATTAAAAAATCTTCTTTCCTGAGACCAGCAGGTTGGTGTAATGGCTATGTGGCTGGACTCCCATGTAGTAGACTACGGTTCGAGTCCCGGACCCAGTGGCTTACACTCACACTAGATGCGTGTGCATGCGTGCCCAAGATCCCGAGAGGAGAATGGAGGAGAAGGGGTTGCGGCTTGGCCATCCCCCCTGGGAGGTGATTTCTCACTTTCCATCTCTCTCGTCTCTCTCTGTTTTTCTGGTTAGTGCACGTGCCCTATAGCAAAAACTTCTCCAAAAAAAAAAAGATTCTTTCCTCCTATGGCTCCATCATCTTCACCAAAATTAATTTCTAATGATTCTTCAAGATGAAGAAATTTGATCTCCTGTTCCCTTTTGATCTATCCCTACATACATTACAATCAATTTATCTTTTGTACTTTTTCTCATACTTTTACCCTACTTGCAGATTATTTTCTCAACATTGGGCTATATGATGAAAAACTTAAAATATTTCAATTTCTAGAAAAAAGCTCAACCCCATATAAAATATTTCCAAGGAATCTAGACTTAAGTAATCATCTATATCTTTCTTTCTAAGGTCAATGGATAACTGAGAGACACTTCATATCTATATCTCATGAAGAAATGTTACAGTAGAAAACAAAAAGGAAGAAACAAAATTTTAGGGAAATAAGAGAATAAAGTGAATAAAAATAGAGTGGAAATAAATTACGTAAATAAACCAACAAGCCAACAGATTTAAAAATACTAATCTTGGAAGACTGCATTCAGCAACTTGGCAGTTCTTGGTAACTATGAAAAGGAGTTCAATTTTTATTATCCATGAGAGTTCACCTGTGAGGCAGACTAGAGGGAGATGATACCAGCAAGTCTGAGATCTGCCAGTCTCTTTCCATTGTCCCTCCATCTTAGTACATCCAACTCTGCAGCTTTTCCTCCAGGGAGTTTCCTCACTTTCTCTCTAGATTCTGACACGATCAGTTCTTAAAAGACCAAAATGGTCCATGATTAATTTAGTATCTTAATTAACTTTCTAGGAATATCATAAGGAAGTTAATCCTAAATGAGTAATCTAAAAAAACAGAAATCTAGGACCAGCAGGTGGTGTGATGGTTGAGGTACTGGGTTTCCACATAGATGACCTTGGCTCATGTCCTGAATAGGGTGGCTTGAAAATTACAACAACAACAAAGAAAATGGATAAAAAAATTAAATTAAAATGTTAAAAATAAAAGAAACCCTGAAATTATTGCCTAACATTTCTGGAGGCTTAAAGTTCAAAAGCATGGTGTCTTCAGGGTCACACTCTTTAAAAAAAGGTATGAAAGAAAGATCTGTTTGGGGTTCTCTCTGCTTCTGGTGATTCCTTGGTCTGTGGCAGCACAACTCGGGTCCTCACTTCTGCTCTCCCTGTGTCCCAAATATCCTCCTTTTACAGGGACAACTACTTATAACTACTTCTATAGACTTTATTGTGTGTTATAAGTAGTTGCAAGAGACACAGATATTTACAGTATAATGATAAAAAGGTCAATCCTTCAGGCAGATACATAAAAATTACAAATATATACATAAAATATCAAACCACCAAAATATATGAACCACCCACTTACTGAGCACTGAAGTCAGTAATTCAATAATAATCTGAGACATCAATATCTCACTTTCCATCATAGATAGAAGTACAGATAGAAAATTCAATAAGTGAGCATGAGATTTGAACAACACTATAGAACAAATGACCAAACAAATTTCTTTTTTCTTTTTTTTAAGGAAGAAAGAAAAGTTTGTATTTTCATTTAAAGAAACAAACAATAAAAAAGTCATAAAATTCTATTTCACCAGTTCAGTCTTATGTTCAAACTCTCTTTTGTTGAATATGCAGTGTTCTGTGGTCTGTTTAAGTCCTGGAAGTTAGCATTGAACATTTTTATTGATATTTCTTGTCCCTAGCATTAAATTGGTCATTTTCTTGGTTGCCTTTTGTTCTCTTATTTCTGTATGTCTTTAGTTTTCCTGGTAGAGTACTCCTTTCAAAACTTCTTAAAGAGTGGGTCTGCTATTGGCAAGTTCTTTCAGGTCTTGTTTATCTGAGAATGTTTTTATACTTTCTTTTGATATGAAGGATAATCTTGCTGGGTATAGTATTCTTGGTTGAAACTGTTTTTGGCTTAACACTTTGAATATATTTTCCTATTCTTTCCTTGCTCGCATTGTTTCTGATGAAAGGTCTGAGGTTACCCTGATTGAATAACCTTTATAAGTAACCTGACATTTCTCTCTTGCCAATTTTTTGTATCTTGTCTTTGTATTTGGCCAGTCTGGCTATGATGTGTCTTGGAGAAGATCTTCTTGGGTTGATTCTATTACAGGTCCTTTGTATTTCTTCGGTCTGGATATTTGAATGCCTTCCTAGATTTGGAAAGTCTTCTTCCAAGATTTCGTGGAATAGATTATCAATGCCCTTATTAGGTTCCTCACCTTCTTGGATATCGATTATCCAGATGTTTGGATGCTTAATGCTGTCTAGTATTTCTCGTATAGTATTCTCTCTCTCTCTTTGTTTTTTTTTTTAGTTATTTTAGGTTGTTTTTTTTTTTTTTTTTTTTTTTTGGTTTTTTTTTTTTTTTTTTTTTTGGCTGTTTTTTCTAGATCAGAGGTTTTGCCTTCAACAACCAAGACCGAATTTTCTGCATGGACTAATCTGCTTTTAATACTTTTGAGGGAGGTTTTGATTTCCTGAATGGCAGCCTTCATCTCCAATAGCTCCATTAGATTCTTTTTTATGGTGTGTATTTCCTCTTTCAGATCATGGAAGAACTTCATCACCTCCTGGAACTCATTGTCTCGTTTCTCCTGCATCTTCTGGAATTCATTGACTCTCAGCTCTTGCATCTCCTTCAGTTTTGTCATTGTGAATATTATTAATGCTCTATCAGACATTTCCATGAGTTCTACTGTACTGTCTGGATGATGAGGAATTGTTCTTTTCTTTTAAGGGAGAGATATTTTCTGGTTTCTCATGTTTCTTGTGCCTCTGCAGTTGTTTCTGGTCATTCTGACAAAATCTCTCCTCCACAGTGCTTCACAATGTGGTATCAACAGGAAGATTAGGAGTTCAGATTTATAAGAAGAAATGTCTTCATAAAGCAGGAGGTTCAATAAGCATTGAGGATTTCAATGACTCTAAAAGTATTCAGATGCTTGGTTACTGTGCACCTAGGCCTATCTACACATTCAATGTGTGGAAAGTGTAGCTTAGAGTGGGAAAGTTAGGTTAAAAAATATAAGCAAAAAGAAAAAACTAGAAAAGTACTATTAAAAAAGAGTTTAAAAAAATGTTTTACACATAAAAAATGAAAACC